GCCATAATGGGTTTTTTTTGTAGTGAAAATATTTTTTCCAGAGTTTTTCCAGAGGCTCCTTAGTGAAGACCTTCAACAGTAGAATACTGAACCTGTAGGTGGCACTAATGCAACAAACGTCTTTAAACCTAAAGAAGAAGAAATAACGAGGTGAGTCAACAAGTTTTTATAGGATAATGAATGGCATACTATTTTTTTTAACTTGATAATTATGTAGCATTTTTGGAGGTGTACAGCATCACGGAACAATGGAGCTCTGCACAGGAGTATCCAGATCTGATCGAGCTGTTTCACCATGTACTGCGTCCCCAGACAACAGAATACTCTGCCACCATCTCTGTTCACCTGGTTGTTTTGACAGGTTTTTACTTCGGTGTGGGTTTTATTACTTTTTTCTTTTCCGTGTATGCAGCTGTGTCTTTGATTTATATTATAATATACATGCTGCAGACTTTATCTAAAAATGTTAAGTTATTTGAAAAAGAAGACTTGAGTTCAACATTGTTAGACAGCGTTCAGCTCTGAACCGTATCTGGATGAGTCAGCCATTCAGGTGTGAAAAATATCTGCATGATTTTCTTTCTGAAAAGCTCATACGACGCACACACTCAAATTACTTTTTGCATTTGCCAGAACGGCGAGGTGTTTGATTGGTTTATGATGGAGTTGAAGGAGCGATGGTGGCATTAAGGGAGATGTTTAAATATTTATGAGAAGGAAATTATTTGAGGTTTGATAAATGCTAACAGGAGGGCCTGCTGGAGAAGGTTGACACAGCTAAATTAACTGGAGAACTGGAGACCTGTGTCATTCTGTCACATACAGAGACAGAGAGGGAGGGAGAGGAGAAGGAGAGAAGGAGGGAGAGGAGAAGGAGAGAGGGATGTGGAGAGAGGGGTGTGTGTGCGGGGGGGTTAACACGATTCAAATCCAAACTAAAAGCGTCCACCACCTTACAATACAATCAAATGTTATATCACACTATAATAATAACAATAATAAATTACTCTCCTGTGTTTTTTCACAGCTTCCTGGTGTGACTCAGAAAATGCCGCAGCAGCTGAAGTCGCGGAGGTTTCTGTCGTCTTCTCCTGCCTGTAGTTTCTTATTATTCACAATCATCTCTGCTGGACTTTTCTGGAGTTAACGACAGAATCAGAACAGCGTGTCTCTTCCCCTCAGCTAGAGCAGAGACTCGTAACCTGGCTGGAGGAAACTACATACTTCTGTATGAATTCCCAGGATTCATGTTTATCTGTCCTTATGACTCCACATCTCTCTCCTCTCTGCCTCCATTAACCTCCTCCTCTCGTGTTAACCTTGTTTTCTTCTTATTTTTCTCTTCTGTCCATCACCTGTTTACCGTTATCCGCAGTAAAAGGAAATGACACACTCACCCGTGGAGCTGTCCTCTCACACCTATCACTGCACCGACGCAGTGGTCCTTAATGCCCTGAATCCACTCCAAACTCCCGCAGCTCCCTGCTCATTCTACACCTACGTTCAATTAGTGCAAATTACAAGTGGTTTAATTATTGTGTTGATGCAGCTCTTCTGTTAGCGGGAGAACAGCATGACTTAGAGCAGAGAGAGAAGAAGAAGAAGAAGGGCACAGAGGTTTACGACCTCTTCTAATTAAATTACAGTGTTAGGTGGTAAATAGAAA